TTTTATATTAAATTTATATTGTCTAATTAATTAATTTTAAAAGTCCGATAAATATAAAATATATTATGCTCGAATATATTATTATAGAAAATTCGATTCTTAAATAATAATTTTATATATTTAATTTCTAATATAAGATAAATAATATTGCATAATTCCGAGATTTTCATATTTAATAATAATTAGATATATAGTAATTATATATCCGAAATTCTCATATATCATAACAATTTCGTAAAATAAATATAAACTATATAATGATTTTTTTAAATAGCGCGTATCTTATTTTCAATATAATTATATATATATTTTATTTTCGATAAAATTATCTTCGATAAAATTCTTCTGCAGATCTTATAAATTCGAGTTCTTATAAGAATTTTTCGAATCTTTTGAATTATTAAATTAGAAAAAATTAGAATTGATCCGCTGCTTCCAGCAGCGGTATTCAAAAAGAATATACAATTTGGAAGTATTCTGGCAACGATAGTCCAAATATGAAAATTTATAGAAAATTTAAAGTGCTAGGTCTCAGCACGAAAGCGCAAATCTCGTGCAGTGGTATAACTATGGACAAGTTGATATCGAATTCTTGCACGTAATTTTCCGGCGCCAAAATCAGTTATGGATACTTAGATATCTAATTATATATATCGATTCCGATTCATGGCGCCAGAAATTACCTACGATTCTTTTTTATGGTAGTCATCTCAAAGGTGAAGTCAAGCTTCAAATGTCAGTTTCTTACGTCAAATTTCCCATGCCGAAGGCCGAGGGCAGAATTATAAGCAGGACGCGAGGTCTTTTGCGGAGAGACAGCAATAATATAGAAATAAAATATCCGTATATACAATTTGTCGCCGGCTGCAACCTGGCTGCATAGGAGCCAACGGCAATCATTATATTAAGAATATCCTATGATAAACCGAATTATGCATAAAGAGTTGCCCGTCATGGAGCCCCTAATCGAAGCAATTGTCAGTCAAGGCCCACATATAATGATAAATTATCCTAGAAAGATAAATAAAGAGATAGATAAATAGAGAGATAGATAGATAGAAAAATAGATAGATAGATAGATAGAGAGATGTGTAAATGCTTTCCATATAGAGACCCATATAGAGAGAGAGATAGTGCAAAATTACAGTCCCGATTCAGTCAAAGAGAGCAATCTTTATCGATATCAATCACTTTCCCCAATCATATTTATGAGCAATCCTTTGTGCAACCAAGCAGTCGTCCAGTCTTGA